CTGAAGGGGACACCTCAGAGCAGCTCCAGTGCCTAAAGGGGCTCCAGGAGACCTGGAGAGGGGCTTTGGACAAGGGATGTAGGGACAGGCCAAGGGGAATGGCTTGAACCTGCCAGAGGGGAGACTGAGATGAGCTCTTGGGCAGAAGCTCTTCCCTGTGAGGGTGCTGAGGCGCTGGCACAGGGTGCCCAGAGAAGCTGTGGCTGCCCCATCCCTGGCAGTGTTCAAGGCCAGGTTGGACACAGGGGCTTGGAGCAACCTGCTCTAGTGGAAGGTGTCCCTGCCCGGGGCAGGGGTTGGAACTGGAGGAGCTTTAAGGTTCCTTCAGCACAAACCAGTCTGGGATTCTGTGAAATGCATCATGTATTTATGCTGTAATATTAGACATTAATGACTATTTTTCAAACTTTTCCAGAGGAGTAGGTGGACAACTAAGAAACGTCAGTTACTGCGTCCCAGAGGCTATCAAAATGCAAGATGTCCTTATCTATTGACCCTCACTGCTTGGTCTGCGAAGTTCCAGACAAGAGCTTTATGGGTTTTATCATGTAGTGGCATTCTGTGCCTGCAGTGGTGTTAGATGGAGCAGTTTGGTCCCTCTCAAGCATTGTACAACTTGCTGCTGGGTCTGAGCATGTTTTTTTTGCATTAATTGTATACTGAGGAGGATACTGCTTATCAGACACCTATCAGCATCCTCCCTTCACATGCTAAGAGGACAGAGAAGAGCTATTTCTGGCTATAGCAATCTGGCTTTCTGAGCATGGTTCCCACTACAGACCATCTATCTGGATTGTTTTATGATTGGAATGCTGGAGCTGCATTCATCTTATGCTCTTGTATGAGCATAAGAGAGCATGAGGATGCAAGTATGGCCTTGCTAAATGGAATTACTTGAAAATCTTCCTGATGTGTCAGCTCTGGGATGCACTTACTATGAAGCTGACACTGATTTCAGTATCCTGAAGAACTTACAATACTCAAGTGTATGGTGGTGGGAATGACTGTGTAAATTTTTGGCAACTGCTCTATACTTACATATGGATCATGCTTATCTTAGCAGTGCTGCAGCCACCAGATTCTAGTATTCCAATAGTTTCCTGGTCAGCTGCCTGTTTCTAATCTGTAGTCTGAGCAGAGTTGCCATCAGAGAGAAATCTTACTGCTTTTATCTAAACCCAATTCCTTTTTCTGATTCTCTTGCAAATAAATGAACTTTTCTCTTTTGAAATGCTGCTTCTTCCTCCAGAACAAACCCCTCCTACTTGTAGAACTGCAATTTTTTACTGAAACATCATAAAGCTCCCATTTGGCAGCTTCCCAATGATATCTTACAATAATGCTGGTGAATGATCTATAGCTCTGCTTTTATTCCCTATTAGTATTTGCCTGATCGATGGCTAACCTGATTGATTAAGGTCAGATGTCTTTATTGGCTGATGCCTGAATCTTTTCTCATTATGACTTAACATGTTTTATGGTCTGTTAGACTTCTTGTACTCGTTTTTGCACACCAGAACAACAAACTTCATGATGTAGATGCTGTGAGCAATACACATACATGATGTTTTGGGTGTTCTCAGGTCCAGTATTAAAAGGATGTGAAATATTATAGAATCTTAGAATGGTTTGGGTTGGAAGGGAGCTTAAAGCTCCTCCAGCTCCAACCCCTGCCCCAGGCAGGGACACCTTCCACTAGAGCAGGTTGCTCCAAGCCCCTGTGTCCAACCTGGCCTTGAACACTGCCAGGGCTGGGGCAGCCACAGCTTCTCTGGGCACCCTGTGCCAGCACCTCAACACCCTCACAGGGAACAGCTTCTGCCTTATCTCCAACCTGAACCTCCCCTGTTTCAGTTTGAACCCATCACCCCTTGTCCTATCCCTACAGTCCCTTATTGAGGTATTTGGGTTGAGCTGCGGTAAGAAACACTTGATCTCAGGCTTTCAACTTGTTCTGTGAATAAGGTAGCTGTGGTGTCAAGTAAATTATTTGCTTTTATGACATCTTAATCATTTCTAAGTGTCCAAGTGTAGAACCTTCACTGCTCTCACTTAGGCTTGTGGTGCTGGTTGAGGTATGGGGAGATGAATGTGTGCTGCAGTACAGAAACAGGATCCTTGTGATAGATAGCCTGATGCTTTGCTCACCTTTTTTCTCTTCTGGTGATACAGTTTGAAGTGAGTAGCAGATCCTTGGAAACCTAACATCTCTGTGTCCTCTCAAACAGAGTATCCTCACACAGCCTCAAAGCAGGAAACAGTGGGGCAGTGTTAATAGTCAGTAGAGATAGTCCCAGTAAAATGGGGTTTTGCTTTTTCATCTGGCATTTGTGATTATAATCTGTTAAAGATTCCTATTTACCTCTTAATTTTCACATATAGTAATATATTTTTAGGCTGAGGTCTCATTTGCCATTCACAAGTGTCCCCCCACCATTCCCTGAGGCAGCTCTTTCTGTCATCTAGGCATTGGCTGCACCTGCCAGATGGGTATCGATTCATTCTACTTGACTAAAGATGTTTATAACTGAATTACTTGGCCAAGACTCCCATATAGTTGATGAAGCTGCTTCATTCATTCATAAAATTCACTATTTCATAAGACCACATTAGGATGAGAAGAATTGAACACTGGAATCTATTAACTCTAATGGGAACATAGGCTAATGACGTTGGATAATATTTGCAGATAAAGCCAACTCCTGGAGCTGAGGTCATTTCATGTCTCTAATTTTTAAAGCCTGATTGCTGCCTAATGGAAACCAACTGGTTCCAAAAGGGGTCCTAGAATTGGAGTCTGCCTCAGTTTGGTCTTCTAATCACTAGAACCCTCTAAGGCACTTTTTCTTTAGCTGTATTTGTCAAAGAAAAAGGTAATGAATGGTTTATCTGCTTAAATTAGATGATAACTTGGTTTTGGGAGCTCTTCACTGAAGTATACATGATATGTGGACTCAAACTTGTCCATCTTAGGAGGATCTACATTCCAGATGTGCTACTTCCTGGGCAAATACTGTAACTATCAGTTTGCTATCAAAAAAGGGAGGGTAATGGCTTTTGCCCAGTATCTCCATAGGTTTCCAACTTCTAAGTTATTGAATGCTGTCTCGATACATAAATACTTAATACAAATAGAATCTCTAAGGAGACTGTTGCCTTGCTGTTGCTTCATGTCTTATATTGCCTGATAATGTGGTTATCTGGTTTCTAATTACCTAAGGAAGTGGTTTTGTTACTGGTTCTGAAGGCAGAGGAGGGTTGTATTGTCCTGAATTCAGTATCTATATTACAGTCAAGTCATTGCCATTTTGGAGTGAGACAACAGGTTTTAGCAGTTGGACCTTGAGGTGGGCCCATGTGAACCTCATGAAGTTGAACAAGGCCAAGTGCAAGGTCTTGGATGTGAGTCAGGACCATCCCCAAGCACAAACACGGGCTGGGGGAGACTGGACTGAGAGCAGCCCTGAGGGGGAGGACTTGGGGGTTTTGGTTGATGAGAAGCTCCCCATGACCCGGCTTCAGTGTGTGCTTGAGCCCAGAACCCCCCGTGTGCTGGGTGCACCCCCAGAGCGTGAGCAGCAGCTCAGGGAGGGGATCCTGCCCCTCTGCTGTGCTCTGGGGAGACCCCCCCTGCAGCCCTGATCCAGCTCTGGGGAACAGCACAAGAGGGACGTGGAGCTGCTGGAGCGAGGCCAGAGGAGGCCCCGGAGCTGCTGCGAGGGCTGGAGCAGCTCTGCTCTGGAGCCAGGCTGAGAGAGCTGGGCTGGGGCAGCTGGAGAAGAGAAGGCTCCTGAAGGGGACACCTTAGAGCAGCTCCAGTGCCTAAAGGGGCTCCAGGAAACCTGGAGAGGGGCTTTGGACAAGGGATGTAGTGGTGTAGGATGCTGGGGAATGGGAGAAGGTTAAAGCCTTTCTATTAAAGTTGGCATAACTGTTAGCTACCAGGCTACTAAGTGTTCCCAATTGGAATATGTTACTTTCTTACTAGATGACTGAGTATTTTCTTTCTCCTTTCTTTACCTCCTGCTATGTATGTGCCAGTTTTAATTTGTCGGCTTTTTCTTAGGTCAAAACAAGTTTTCACAATGTTTTCTTTTGAAAATCTATTGAAACTTTGTTTATTGCCACAACTTCTATTAAAGGAAGTAACAAGAAACTACTATTAATCTCTTTGCATCAGGCTTTTCAGAAGTATGCAATTGCCTATGCATGTGGAGATAGTGGATATTGAACGGTATCAGTGTAGTAGTTTGTATGACTGAGCCCTTGAATATCAAATAGAGTTGGGAATGGACCTGGTTTGTGTTTCAAAACCTTCTTGAATGGATTTTTGATAGCTCCAGAGATGTCTTTCAAGCTTGTTGGTTTAGAGGCTCTCATAGTTTCCTACCTTTATCTTGGTTTGTTCATACACTTGAAGCTGCTTCTCTTTGAGTTCTTAACTAGACTCTCAACTGATTCATCTGACATAATCTAAGTGAAGAATATATTCTTTCCATGTCTGCTTGTTTAAACCAAATTGGGAGAATTTGAGGCGAAATCTGTTTCTAACAGGGAGGATGGGTATCTAGGATGTTGTAAATACTTCGCTGGGTAAAACATGCATCTGAAAGTACTTGATTCATTACACAGGAAGATGTTTCCCTTGATTCCATAGGAATAAAAGCCAGAATCTTACGACTTTAGTATTTAGGTCTCAGTCCCCTCCTCCTCAAATTTTACTTTATAAAGGTATATTTCATAAGAAAAATGTATTTAATTTAACATATACTTTATGGTATTTAATCTTTGAAAGATTCTTCTAAGTGATAAGTTGCTTAAGAGTAGTTTTTAAAGGCTGTCTGGTGAATCTTAAGCTTGAAAGGTATTTAAACCACCAGAAAGCACTGCAACTGCTTTATAGAAAGAAGAAAATAAAAGAGAGCACTGTATTATGTAGTTGTTTCTGTAATCAGAAATATGTTGTGTTAACAGTTCGTTTCATTTTCTTTTAATTGTAGTTATTGATGAACAACTGAAGAAGAGAATAGCTGAAGAACTGGCATTAGAACGAGCCAGGAGAGACTCTGAAGCTCAAAAGAGAAGGTTAGTTTGTTAATCACAATCTTAAACACGAACATGTGCTTAATGCTTTTATTACTGTTACTTATCTACTTACTGAGAACAGTTGCATTCTGTGCCCCAAGACAAAAAAATAGGTAAGACCTTTAGGTGATTTAATGAGTTCTGATATTAATTTGTTGTTTTAACATGTATTTAAATGTGTATGTAACTGAAATTTCCTTGCAAGAGCTGATATAAAATGTGACTTTAAATCGTTTTTGACCTCATGAGCTTGACTGTTTTTACAGTCTCTTAAGCTCAATCTTTGTTGATTTCTTTTGAGTCCAAATATTCACTTTGTGGTGTAGAGATGGAAATAGCTGGAGAGCAGTGCAGAGGTAGGTTACCCGTCACCCATCTGTGTGATCCAAAGGTATATTCTAACAGCAATAGAAATGGTAATTCTTCTTATTTCAGTGAGTTCTGAGTATTTCTGTGAGCTGCAGCGTGCTTTAAGCTGCTTCATGGTGCTTTGAAGATACAAAGTACTGAATTAAAGCAGTTTACTAGTAGAAAACCTTTTTGATATCATTCCATATATTGAAACATGGCTTTCATAAGCATGTTTTCTCAGAGGTTATGTGAAAGACTGGGTAGAGTCACACAGAATGCAGAGGCAGAATTTGGATGCAGCAGTTCAGAAGCATACTTTGCAATGTCTACTCTGGTCCTGTGGGGTTATTAGCAATGGAAAAAATCCTGCTGGAATTTGGAATTGAGTTGGCTGCACAATAAACTCTGACTTGTGAGTTCATTTGTCCTTTATTGCACTGATATTTCCTATATAGATGATTACACCCTGAATATAAATATTAACCTCCACATTGTCCTCCATTCTGAGAATGGGAAGAAAGGCTCATTATGATGGATTAAAGAAATGAGAATGTAATTAGTACTATTTAAACTGTCTGCATATATCTCAGTTGTTTCCTACACATCATTATATTACTGTTTAATTGAGTTAGGTTGATGGAGTCTATAATTAGATAGGACTATATAAATGTCCCAGAAAAAAATCAGGCTTCTTTTTGAGTCAGCAATAAAGGAAATCAATATGTTACAGTGAAATCTGTCCTCTTTTGAACTGGGCTTTCACAGGAAAACTTGAGTTAGATTTAAGCTTCATGTTGACTGCTCAAGAGTTGAGCAAAATGTTATTACGATGTGGAAATGCTTGTTTTGTAACTCCAGTATTTTGCCATTTGACTCTTTTCAGTAACTTCTATTAAGTATTCCATAATTCAGCTTTCATGGGTTGTGTATTGGGCTGTGAAAGGTAAGGAGCAGATTGGCTTGTCATATTCCTGATGTTATATTTTGTAGGGAGTAATGCTGGCAGCGTTCCCTTTATTTGACTAAGGATTAGTGGGGAAGATGTTGCATATTAAAATGCTCCTGTAAAACCTTTGTGTGTCTTAAAATTAGGTGGAAGAATCTGTGCTTTTGAAATGTAAACTGTCAAAATAATAGTTTAGAAAAAGAATAAAATGACAAGCTGAGAAAGTTGGGGCTGTTCAGCCTGGAGAAGAGAAGCCGAGTGGAGACCTCAAAGCAGCTTCCAGTGGCTGAACAGGGCTACAAGGAGATAGGACTATATAAATGTCCCAGAAAAAAATCAGGCTTCTTTTTGAGTCAGCAATAAAGGAAATCAATATGTTACAGTGAAATCTGTCCTCTTTTGAACTGGGCTTTCACAGGAAAACTTGAGTTAGATTTAAGCTTCATGTTGACTGCTCAAGAGTTGAGCAAAATGTTATTACGATGTGGAAATGCTTGTTTTGTAACTCCAGTATTTTGCCATTTGACTCTTTTCAGTAACTTCTATTAAGTATTCCATAATTCAGCTTTCATGGGTTGTGTATTGGGCTGTGAAAGGTAAGGAGCAGATTGGCTTGTCATATTCCTGATGTTATATTTTGTAGGGAGTAATGCTGGCAGCGTTCCCTTTATTTGACTAAGGATTAGTGGGGAAGATGTTGCATATTAAAATGCTCCTGTAAAACCTTTGTGTGTCTTAAAATTAGGTGGAAGAATCTGTGCTTTTGAAATGTAAACTGTCAAAATAATAGTTTAGAAAAAGAATAAAATGACAAGCTGAGAAAGTTGGGGCTGTTCAGCCTGGAGAAGAGAAGCCGAGTGGAGACCTCAAAGCAGCTTCCAGTGGCTGAACAGGGCTACAAGGATGCTGGGGAGGGACTCTTCGTCAGGGACTGAAGTGGCAGGACAAGGGGTGATGGGTTCAAATTGAAACAGGGGAAGTTCAGGTTGGAGATAAGGCAGAAGCTCTTCCCTGTGAGGGTGCTGAGGCGCTGGCACAGGGTGCCCAGAGAAGCTGTGTCTGCCCCATCCCTGGCAGTGTTCAAGGCCAGGTTGGACACAGGGGCTTGGAGCAACCTGCTCTAGGGGAAGGTGTCCCTGCCCGTGGCAGGGGTTGGAACTGGAGGAGCTTTAAGGTCCCTTCCAACACAAACCATTCTGCAATTCTAGGATGGCTTTTGATAACTGAAGTTTTGCTGTGGTTTGACTGTGTGTTCTCCTGTGACGACTTCGGCAACTTTTGTTTTGAAAGCCACATGAAAAATGCTTTTTTTTAGTAATCCTGATGATAGATTTTCTAACACTCCCTAGTAATGAATTGGAGTCTGTTCTACTTGGCTAGCTGGGCTCCATATGGTGTGTGGCATTTTAGCTGTCATTAGCTGGATAACTTATTGCAACCTCTCGAGTTCTAAACATCCTCATCTGTTTAAAGAAAATCTCTCTAAACTCTAAATTGGCTTTTAAAGCCACGTACACGCTGGTGCACAAAGGTGGCTCGCTGTGGTAGGTGCTGAGATTGCAGCCATTAGCTTCTGTATGTGTTTTTGTGTTGGTGTTGTGCTTGGGGGAGGGTCCCTCTAACTGCAATTCACTTTAAGGTTTAATTGATACTCAGATGTGTGTGAGTGCTTCCCCCCGACCTTGTTTTGTCATGTCTCAGCAGTACATTGCATTGATGACAAGCTCTTAGGAAACTTCTTGGGTTAGACAGTGTTTGCAGAAGAGAGCAGCAAATCCACCAGTGAAAACGTAAAGTGAGAGAAGAATGAAGCACAAGATTAGAGAAGAACCCTTTGGGAAATGACACACCAAAAATGTTATATTAAAATCAATAGCAGGGCTTGACCTTTTCCTGTGCTACTGTATATTTTAAAGCTCACTATTGATTTCTGTTTAATAACATGTTTATTCTAGTTTACTGGCAGAACAGAAGAAAAAGAAAATGATTGATTTAGAATATTCATTCTATGGAGGTAAATTTATGAAGAGCGTATTAATGGATCTTCATTTCATATGGGTAATGCACTAAATTCCATGAGAACTTTTTTGGAAGTACATCTATTTCTTCCTAAAATACTCCATTTTCCCGGGGAATTACCTCTGTTGAACTGGGAGACTGGCTTTTCTTGCAGTAGTCTTCTCATGGGGAACAGAAAGCTACTTTGTTTGCAAACAGTTGTAATGGAGTCTCCTGCCACAGGGACCTCTTGATAGTGCTTAGATTAAGTGAGAAAACAGGCTGGAAAATTACATCTTCTCTACTGCTGACGGTAGGATAGAAAGCTGGAAATACTTGGAAACAGTAAAGATTATAATGATTTGGACTACTGGTAAGTCAAGAATAAGAGCTTAGTATCTCTGGGCACAAGTGACCATACTGTTCTTTAAAAAAACCTGAACCCCCAAACATTTAAAGATATTACCCAATTCCCAATTGGTAATCTCATTAAGGAATTCAAGAAGTGGTACCACAGCTTTGCACCAAAGCTTGCCTCTGCTGGTCATTCAGTGTAAGGATGAGGTTGCCTCCTCTGGTCCCCAGCACAAGAGGGATGTGGTGCTGCTGGAGCGAGGCCAGAGGAGGCCCCGGAGCTGCTGCGAGGGCTGGAGCAGCTCTGCTCTGGAGCCAGGCTGAGAGAGCTGGGCTGGGGCAGCTGGAGAAGAGAAGGCTCCTGAAGGGGACACCTTAGAGCAGCTCCAGTGCCTAAAGGGGCTCCAGGAGACCTGGAGAGGGGCTTTGGACAAGGGATGTAGGGACAGGACAAGGGCAATGACTTTAACCTGCCAGAGGGGAGATTGAGATGAGCTCTTGGGCAGAAGCTCTTCCCTGTGAGGGTGCTGAGGCGCTGGCACAGGGTACCCAGAGAAGCTGTGGTCGGAGCTGGATGATTTTAAGGTCCCTTCCAACCGAACCCATTCTACAATTCTATGAAATTGCATCTAAGCTGGGCAGAAAGGCTGATGTGACATCTTATAAGGGCCTCCTGTCTCTGAACGTGACATGTGTGTGCATGGCGTGCTCCTTCCATATCTGAAGATGTAAAGTTAGTGGAGAGATGGCTTAAAGTAGTGATTGAGTGAGATTGGAGAGGAGCTTTTTCTGAGTGTGACATCAGGCAGTGCTGGCAGTGGTGAGTGCTGTTCATTTACCAAGACAACACAGAGGGGTGTGCTGTGTATAACTGACATTATAAACACATAATGATACTTTGGTTTATATTTTGAGTGTCCAAAAGGCCACTTCAGCCTCAGGATTAGGAACACATATGGAGACAGCAGCAAGCTGTGGCATTGTTTCCACAGATTGAGCTCTTCCTGTTCTCCTTGCCTCATCCTACCAGCTCAAAGTTTGAGTTCTTTATCCTTTCTCACACCAAAAGTTTCTCTTGCCTGATCTCACCTGCATGAAAAGACTTAGAAGTGAGTTTCTTGTTGAATAGATCTAACATTAGTGAAGTCTGGAGGATTTTGGGGTAATAATCCTGCTCCCTCACAGGAAAAGAGGGAGTGAGAAGGGTCAGGCTGGGTGAAAACTGCTTCTCTGGAGGCAAGGGAAGAAGCCAAGATTAAGTGTGAAGATACTTCGGGTTTGGTCAGAGGTTTACCTATAAAACAAGTACTGTGATCAGGAGAGCTGTTGTATATGATGCCTCTTTGGACAG